GAAAGTTTGCTTGACCGTCTATCATAAAGATTGGTCCAAACTGTCATAATATTGTTAGAATTTACATCACATGGGCCCATGTTAATACTAGAGTAAATAGAGTAGAACTAGAGTAAATAGAGTAGAGTAAATCTTGTAAAACATCACAAGTATCATTATGAGTGAAATAACGCCACATTTCATTTTTAGTGTTCTTTGAAATCGTTCAACAAAACTGGCCTTAATGTCAGGATTGTTAGTGGTATAGTAATTAATCTTTTTGGATTTAAAGTATTTTTGTATATCTTTTGAAACGAATTTTGTACCTTTATCAGATTGTATGTGATTGGGTGTTCAATTACTTTCAGTAAATATACTTTCAAAACATTCTTTAGTTGTTTCTGAGTTTTTATTTTTCATTGGTCTTGCAAAAGCATATTTACTAAATACAATATTGAGAATAAGTTCGCATATCACTCAAATCAGCTTGCCACAGTTCATTAATATTTGATAGAATGTACCTATTACGCGAGAATTTTTTTCGAATGGGTTTATGTAATGTGTATGTTTCTTGTAATTTTAACCATTCCTTTACTTGCCTTTTATTCATTTTACCCTTCATGGCTTTTGAAAATTTATCAATACTACCAAAACCAGCGGGATTAGATGGATCATAATAAATCCTGTTAATTTCTTCTAGTACGGGGTCCATTTTTCCCACTCAAACCTTTTACGTATTTTAGTTGTAGAATTTTTATCTCTACTTCTCGGTGTAGAAAACTCTTGAAATTCAACCTCAGAGGGTTTGTTCAGATCTTTTGCTTGAAGTTGGTTAATAAACTCACATCTCTTTGGATTTCCAATATAAGTAAGTGGTACTTTAATATCTTTTAATGCTTCAGCAAATCTATCCCACCCTACTGGATCACTTCTTTTTAAGAGTCGTAGTGAATCATTTATTAAATCAACAATATTACTTCCAGGAATTTTTTCATTATCAATTATGACTGTACCTTCATTATCCCAATGTATTTTACTTTTACTTGTTTCAACTAAGTTTAATAACTGTCCTTTTTATTATAAGTTTTTGGTATTAAATTGAGTATTTGAGCTGGTGTGTAAAGTGGATTTTCATCACTTTCTTTACTTTTAATAGATAGATTCTCCTCCAACAAAGATTCAGCATCAACTGAATTGTTTAGATCTCCATCTTTATTTTTAAAACCAATTTTAGACTCATTTGAATCTTCATTAGATGTATCAGAATAAATTGGTAATCTGACTGGTTGACAATCCTCTTCGGTAAAATGAAGGTATCTTTGCAGTGTTTGCAAATATATCATCCATTTCTTTCGGTCTTCCGTCTTACTATTCATAATATTTTGCATTTCATTATCTAATCGATATAAATTACTATTAACCTTATTTTCTTGTTTTAATTTTTCAATCAATCCAGGTTCGATAAGTATCATTTTCTTTGCATTTTCCATGTTAACTAGCAAGTCCACTCACTAATCCACTCAATATTGCACCTAATATTATTGGTAAGAAAGCCACTCCTTTTTGTATAATTATATTTTTTCTTAGTTTATGTTTACACTTACGCACTAGTTTACGGAGTATATTTTTGTGTTTATTCAATTTTTGTTTATCTTGATCTTTAAGAGGTACTTTTTCTTGTAAAACGTTATGAATACACTCACAAATACAGTTAATTTATTCTTCATCACACGTTTTAAGTAATGCTCTTTGATATTTTGGTTTAAGAGTGTGCAAAGCGTTTAGCAAATGCTTATGCGTTGTGAGTCGACGGTGCATCATTTAGCAATGATTTGAATTGTTTGATTCTTGGTGTATTTAAACTCTTTTGTGGGGACGTAGACTGTACAGAAACCATTAAATGGTAAGACATTTGTCTTGATACGACAAATTATTCTGTTTTAAATCTACCATTAAATATCCATGCGCCTCTAGAGTTGCATCCCTGTAGGAATCTTCAATGAATTTTGGGTTATCTGGTGACACTTGTCGTGCTAAATATCTTATTTGAGTTTTATCTCGAGGGTTTTTAAAATATATTATAATATAATATAACTATTATAATAATATAATATAACTATTATAATATAATATAATATATTTTAAAAACCCTCCAGATAAAACACAAATAAGATATTTAGCACGACAAGTGTCACCAGATAACCCAAAATTCATTGAAGATTCCTACAGGGATGCAACTCTAGAGGCGCATGGCGCAACTCAAGTTATAACTTGAGTTTAAAGATATGTCTCTTTGCCCTTTACCCTGATGAAATAAATTTTGTGTTAAATAAAATACACCGACATTCCTGTGATGACTACCTTTTGTAAATATATCTACAATTCTTCCATCGGACTCTCTCAGTAGATCATCAATAATATGGGTGTGGGTTTTCACCATCTAACATATTAAGATTTGAAATTCCTTGATGATAGTTAACATTTGGTAAATTATATAAAGGTTGCATTTCATCAAAGCACCATGTGATCTGTTTAAAATCACAATTACATATTTCTGTAACTGATTTTATGAAATTTGTTACAAAATTTGACTTCCCACATCCACTTGGTCCTGCCACAATAGCAGTAAACGGATGTATAAAGTGAAACATTACACACGTCTAAAGTTCTAAGGGGTGAAATAAAAAATGAAAGTGTTGGTGTAGGTAAACAATTATTATATATTGTGTACTATAACTAATGTTTTTGGGAAATCAAACAAAATTTATGATTAATTTAAAATTTTATTTTCAAGCAATAACCACTTGTAAAAAACCCACACTTCACACAACACAACACAGGAACAATGTAAAATTTTGTGATTATTTTTTGCAAATATATGATTATTACACAAATAACATTTGTTTAAATTTATGAAATTTACCAAATCATTGTATTTTGGATATTTGTATTCTTCAATATTGAAAATTCTATCATTCGTCGTCAACATTTTTAAAAATTGTTTTTCTGCTGAACTACCTTTGTATGCGATCACTTCGTCTTTGCACAAATTACTAATGTACCAATTTAATATGGGAATGATGTTCTCTTGTTTGTAGGTACTTTTTAATTTTTCGGTCACGTCAAAATATAGAATGCCGTGCACATGTGTTTCGCAATAACGATCAGTTTTTTTGTTTTTTGGCAACAAATAATTGAAAGGATAACTTGGCCGAAAGAAATAATGATCGATAAACGCATAATTTTTATTAGATAGTTTTACGTCTAGAATAGCCTTTTCTCTACATTGAAAATGTTTACGAGGATATGTAATTTAAAATCCGTCCATGTCGATGATGTATTTAATATTTTTTAGATTTTGTGTCATTTTGAACCCAAAAGTTAAAAGTATTTACACGTGACTAAAAATATGTTTGTTCCAACAAACTTCACATAACAATGCTTCATTACTTCCCATCATCCCATCTCTTCCTTCTGCTCTTGTATTCCTGTAATTTAAGTAAACAGAATCACATTCACTAATGATCAACTAATGACTGTCATTGTTAAAAAAGTATTTTTTTAACTTTTTCACTTTCTGCTATTGTCTTTGTATTCAGGGCTAGGAAATGTCCGCAGCGCTACCTCAAAGCGTGTTGGCGAACTTCACATACCTTCAAAATTTTCTCAGACATGTAGGTTTCCTCAGGATGTTTTACTTCACCGCTGAGCACGTGGTAAATCAGCATTTAAAATTGCAATTAACAATTTAATTGGTGCCGGTGGGGATCGAACCCGGGTCGCGTACTGTGAAATTTACAGCTTGCGCTAACTATCTGAGCTACCATGGCTTAATCATATACACACATAATATTTAAATATAATTTGTTAACACTAAATCACACACGTAAGAAAATAACAGAAAGAAAAGTAAGTTTGTCAATAGAATAAACACTTACAGCCATGGCCTTTGATGCGTTGAAGTAACACAAATGTAGTATTGATAGGTCCACTAGAAAATAATGTTTATGCTGCCAATAAACTACCCATGTACACCCACGTACCAACGTATATAATATGCAATTTGGATACAGGTGATAAACCTGGGTCACATTGGGTAGCTTTATATGTCCATAAGAATGACGTCGGTCAATATTTTGATTCATATGGACGATCACCTGTACGATATCATCTAGAGTTTTTAAAAAGGAATTGTAAAAGATGGAACTGGAATGTTGATAGGATTTAGAATGAGTGGACTTCAGTTTGTTGCGAATATTGCTTAATGTATTTGCTATATAAGTTTCAGGGATGTTCAAAGCATAGTTTTACAAGTATATTACAGGGAACACATTGCACAATGATATTTTAGTGGATGAGATGTTTCGCTCCTGTTTTATAGACAATAAGTAAAAAGATTTCGTATTTTGTAAATAAAAATTGTACGAAATTAGGTAATGTGTTTTATTGATAATTCAGATTAGCGTTGTAGATAGGAACAAAGAAGTATAATACAATAGCACTGATAAGCCGACGCATACGCCGAGAAAAAATAGACAATGACGGTATTCAATGAACAATAGATAAATAACAATGGGGCGCTAATGACGGTGGAGGCCCTAATCGGATATCAATTAGATAAGAGTTAACTGATCCGCACATCTCCGGAACCGTGCATCCTACGCAAAAAAGGACCGCAGATTCGTGAGCAGAGCATGCCAAAACCTTTTTCTTTTTTTAGGATCGTGAGTCGACGAACGTTGTACCACTTCTGACTCAGTGAGCCAGAAGTGGCTACCTATCTACTGATTGACTTTGTCTCTGACTCATCTTTAAAATAAAAATAGAAATTTCAAATAATATTTTCAAGGCCCTTTTCTTTGCGTATGGTATATATCCTAATTTTTTAAATGCAGATGGTGAAAAATATCCTACTAGTTAAAATATATATTGTTATTTTTATGCGATTATAAATTAAATCAATGCGTCCAATTTCAATTAAATATATTTAATTATAATATTTATGTAATTTAAGATTAAGACTATAGTCCCGTGTGCTTAGCTATAAAGTTTCTTATAGCTGGTGCTGATATGTCGGTGAACGCACTCGGTGATAATGGCTGCCCACATCCACGTCCAAATGACACGATTCCTCTTGCTATACCGTCGATTGCACCGACTCCTCCAGAATCACCCTAAAAGGAGAAAACTTCAAAAATACTAAAAAATGACAACTTGCTTTTGTCTTTTTGCTAGGCACAGGCCTCTTTAAATCTTTTCCAGTATGTTTGGTTAATGGAAAAGGCAGCCTCCATTGTCGTAATGCGTGATGGCGGACTTTACATCATCATCATCATTACAGCCCTTCACAAGTCCACTGCTGAACATAGGCCTCCTCCAAGTAATGCCACAAAACACGGTCCTGAGCCACCTGCATCCATCGACTTCCTGCATATCTTACCAGGTCGTCACTCCATCTAGTGGGGGGTCGCCCTACACTACGCCTACCGATACGAGGCTGCCACTCGAGAACCTTTCTTCCCCATCGGTCATCGGTTCTTCGAGCTATATGGCCGGCCCATTGCCACTTCAGCTTACTAATCCGTTGGGCTATGTCGGTCACTCTGGTTTTACTGCGGATATCCTCATTTCTGAGTCTATCACGCAGAGAAACTCCGAGCATAGCCCTCTCCTTAGCTCGCTGAGTGACCTTGAGCGTCCTCATACGGCCAGCAGTGAAGGACCACGTCTCAGATCCGTAAGTCATCACTGGCAACACGCACTGGTTGTACAATTTAGTTTTTAGAGATTGAGGTATACCTGACGAGAAGATATGTCATAATTTCCCGAACGCTGCCCAGCCGAGTTGAATCCGTCGATTGACCTCTCGGTCGAAGTTGGACTTACCTAGTCGGATTATTTGTCCCAGGTAAACATACTCGTCAACAACTTCGAGCATAGTGCTCCCAACAACTAGCGGCATAGGTGTGACATGGACATTAAACATGATCTTTGTTTTGTCCATGCTCATCTTAAGACCTATCCGTTGGGAGGCACTATTGAGGTCATTGAGCATAGTGCTTAAGTCCTCCAGCGATTCTGCCATAAGGACTATATCGTCGGCAAATCGAAGGTGAGTGATGTACTCGCCATTGATGTTAATACCGTATCCTTTCCAGTCCAGTAGCTTGAAAACGTCTTCCAAAGCAGCGGTGAAGAGTTTCGGGGATATAACGTCACCCTGTCTTACACCTCTCTGCAGTTGGATAGGTTTCGAGCTCTGGTTCTGTACTCGGATAGCCATCGTAGCCCTACTGTACAAACACTTCAGCACTTCGATACCGACAGTCAACTTGGCACCGCTGAAGGGACTGCAGCACCGCCCAAATTTCGACGGAATCAAAGGCTTTCTCATAGTCCACATACGCCAGGCAAAGTGGCAAATTGTACTCTTCAGTCTTCTGTACAATCTGCCGCAGGGTATGTATGTGGTCTATGGCACTGAAGCCTTTTCGGAAACCGGCTTGTTCGGGAGGCTGGAATTCATAGAGTCTGCGTGCGAGACGATTCGTAATGACTCTCGAAAACAGCACGTAGACGCGGCTCAGAAGGGAAATCGGTCTGTAGTTCTTCAAAAGAGCGTTGTCGCCTTTCTTAAAGAACAAGACCACCGCACTTCTGCTCCACGCCTCTGGAGTAGTGCCACCATGGAGGACGGAATTGAAGAGCTTCTGAAGGACTTTCAGTACCGGTGTTCCACCCGCTTTCAGAAGCTCCGCTGTAATTCCATCCTCGCCTGGGGCCCTGCCGTTTTTAAGGTGCTGGAGAGCCATTCTAATCTCGCCTAGACTGACGTCCGGGATATCATCGGAATAGTGTCGGATAAGACTTGCTCTTGGATCGTTACTCACACTTGCGTGTGGCTCCAACGATGATGTGTACAGCTGCCCATAGAACCTCTCAATCTCACTCAAAATCTCAGGTGTCCCGGAAACGATGCTGCCACATTCAATCTTCAGCTTTGACAGTTGGCTCTTTCTGGCAGACAGATCTCTGGCAAAGACTTTGGAGCCCTAGTTCCGCTCGATCGCTTCTTTAATACGAGCAGTATTAAAGTTGCGTAAGTCTCGCCGCATGCATTTGGAGATCTGTCTGTTCAGTTGCCTGTATGCTGTCAAATCTGTTGACGATTGCAGCCTCATCTCCCGTCTAACAGTCATGAGATTAAGAGTGTGATCGGAGAGTTTTTGTGTTCTTCTGCGGTGGGTCTTGCAGAACTTAGCTCCGACCGCATGGACAGTTTCCACGAGCTTGTCATTCATATCGTCCACTGCATTGCAATCTTGTAGGCACTGAAAGCGGTTGTGTAACTCGAGCTGAAAGTTTTCGGGATTCTGGATTAGAGCACGAGGGGGACGGAGCGTTGACTTCATTAGATGAGGCTTCTCCAACTTAACGTTTAGGTTCAGTGTGCCTCTAACCATTCGGTGATCGCTGCCAGTTTTCACCCTTGCGATCACTGAGACATCACTGAAAAGTTGGCGTCTGGTCGTCATAATGAAGTCAATCTCATTTTTTGTCGAACCGTCGGGGGCTCGACCAGGTCCACTTCCTGTGGGGCCGCTTCTGGAAGAAAGAGTTCATCATAAAGAGTCCCTCTTTCTCCATAAAGTCGGCCAGCTGCTGGCCCCTTCGGTTCCGTTGCCCTACTCCAAATTTCCCTAACTTCAGCTCACCGCTTTCTCTTGTGCCTAGTTTTGCGTTGAAGTCTCCCATCAACACCGGGTAGTTTGGAGGAATGCATGGCTTTGGAAATATCCTCATACATTTCCTCTACCTCCTCATCGGGATGTGCCGAGGTTGGTGCGTAAACCTGTATGACCTTCAGCGAATACCGTTTGGTGATTCTGAGTATCAGGTACGCGACCTTCGTCGACACACTCCCAATCTTTACAACGTTGTTGACGAGAGACTTGTGGACGATAAATCCGACACCTCCTTGGGACAGATGGTCGCCCTCCCGGTGATAGAATAAGTTGCCGGTTTCGAGAATCACCGTGTCCTCCCCCCTCTCTTCGGACCTCGGATAATCCTATAATACTCCAGCGCAACTTGTCTATCTCTTCTTCCAGCTCCAGGATCTTCTCGTCAGTCCTCAGTGTGCGTGCGTTAAATGTTGCCAGGTCGAGTCGTCGTAGGTGGCAACCGAACCTCCACCGGAGATTCTTAGCACCCCCTGCCCCGCCGTTACCATGGTCGCCACCGTAGCCAGAAATAGCGGGGCCGCCGGGGACTGGGGGCCGTCTATTTGTGTAATTGTTCATGGGGGGTATATTGCCATAGTTGCCACGCTTGGCGAGCGGGTTGGCAACCGCAGTTTTTTTTTTGTCGTACAGTTGCTGTTATCAGGAAGATGCTGCTGCCCATCTCCTGCCTGTCTCCCTCTGTCGCCTTTTACGACACCCACGGGAAGATATGGGGTAGTGGATATTCTTAACCGCCACTACACGGCTTTACACGTTACGGACTTTACATATTATGCTCGAAATACTCGAAAAAAATCTTATTAGAAAATCTCCCAGAAACAATTGAATGCATTTATACATTGGGTGCGTTTGGCAGAAAAAAGCGCTAGCAAGCGCTTGTAAGCAAAATGGCGATCGTAAGCGGTAAGCGCTGTCAAATCGTAAGTAGCTATTTTCCTCTAGGACACGAAGTCAGTTTTAACCGGGGAACCTAACCTAATTTAAATATATGTTTGTAAAGATCCATCATGAATATTTAATAACATGTCTATTCTATGTCTATTCATGTCATTATATTACTTAAAACTAATATTGCACAGAACAACTTATAAACTCTACTTCAAAACAAACAAAATAAATAAGCAAAATGGCGGATTGTGTCAGCGCTACTGAAGTAGCAATCGTGTCCTGGCCGAAAACTCTATTTCAGCGCTTGTAAGCGCTTGCTAGCTTTTTCTGCCAACGGCACCCAATGTCGACAATTTATTTAAAGTTTTTGTGGTAGTAACACGCTGCAGCGTTATTATAGCTGTATTATGGCTGCAGCACGAATGGGTTGGCTTGACTGGAGAAGGACCATGTTCGCAATGGAATACTGGCCTGAAATATCAGCACAATGCTTTCGTTTTATTGTTGTAATTATTAATAGGTGTTTCGTATGGTGGGTGACGAGATCCGGAAACCCTTTTAACGAGGCCATGCATCTAAGTCCTAATGTTTGTCAAAGCATTTGCATTTCAGCAAAATAAAGTTGTCTATGGGCTAAGATTCACAACCTTCATATGTGCTGTGTGCTCGTTTATCACGTTGAATTTTTTAAAGAAATATTTTACCTCACACGTGCTCGCTCCGCCAAGGAAGAAATCACCATCAGCACAAATCATATTTTTGGTAATATCTAGTACAAAATATGCAACTTGACACAACTTGTGATTGACCACCGTTAGATTGACTGCCATAAGTTGTTCGAGAATCTTAGCACCATTCTGAAAAATTATACATTTTGTAAGTTATATTAACGAAGAAATGTGTGAATGAAAAAAAAGCTTTAAAAATTAAAGCTTTTTTTTAACTCCCAACCATTTGAGTATTTTGCAATGATCATGGTCACGAATGAAAAGCATTTGATGTCCCGGTGTCATAAGTAGCTGTGCGCCAGTAGTCCTAGTAGTATTAGTAGTCCTAGTCCTAGTAGTATTAGTAGCTGTGCGCCAGTGGTCCCCATATTCCAATTATGTTGAGTCCCGATGTCATAGTAGTGAAGATGGTGCTGCAAAGCACTCGAAACGTCGGAAGTTAAAACCAAGTTAAATTAAACGCGATTAAATCCATTAATATTAATATAGATTTATTTAATCTGTGGTGTTCGCTTAAGTACAAGATATCATACTGATTTAACCCAAGGAATCCGTAGGCTAAAATAGCAAAAAGACTTCGTAGCAATCTTCCATATCTCTCTCTTTATAGAGTGGTGAACAGACGAATCGCGATCGATGATTTTAATAAGGAACGCAGTCAATGAATGACCACCCATGGCTCACGACCATGCCTTGTGACAATCCTTTGAGTCCCCCTAAGTTTATGATGGGCTGTAATGATCTTGAAGATGATTAATTTAATAATATTATTATCGTTACAGTCCATCACAAGTCTTCGTGGCACCCTTAGACCTACTGTCCATGGCGGCGTAGCTTCCTAGACGCGTATTCGTCATTATACGCTTGGTGTACGACTGCTTGCAGCTTACATACAAAACTATGTAACTGTGTCGACGAAGCGGCAACGTCGCGCTCGCGTCGCTGCATGCAGGCTTCATGGCGCCTGCCGTAGCCGTACCGCATGTCATACGCCCGAGCGTACATCGAGTGAGCGCTCGTGTTTTTTTTTTGTAAAAATGGCGGCAGCGGCCGCGAAATTTGTTCAAATAGTAGAAAAATATCCATGTTTATACAACAATAATTTAGCTGAATATTCTAGAAAAGATTTAAGTGAAAAGGCTTGGAGTGAGGTGGCGAATGAAATACAATGGACGAATGAGTATCGACTTTATTTATTTTGTACCTAAATACTTAACATTTATTCAATTATGCAATTATTCCACTGCCATGGCAGAGCAAGAATCATTCTCACAAATGATTGTAAACGTACGCTAGCAATACCCCTCGTGGACAGAGTTGAGTACGCTGGGCTGCACAAGCTGCACGGCGTATTTTGAAGCGTCTATGAATCTGTCTCCATGGACAGTAACGTGTAGAAGGGTGTCGCCCTACTTAGTGCTAGTTGGTTCTATCATATAAATTACAATTCAGCTGAATTTTAACGAATTAAGAATACTTTCAAAAAGTTGATAAACTTTTTAACCATTATGTTGCCTTATGATAACACATTTTATTTGACTAGACAGATCTATGCCCAGTTGTAGACTTTTATCGGCTGATTAATAAAAAAGAGATTTAAACTTATTTTATTTAATTCCCAAAATTCCTCTTCTATCTTGCAGCATAATGCTGTAAGAATTTGAAAGCTCATTTGGCACTATTTTTTATAAGAGCGGGGGCAAAGGAACATGCGGTTCACCTGATGGTGACTTCCGCCACCCATGAACTGAAACACCAGATTCGTTTCCGGTCTTTTAAAACAGAGTTGGCTCTTTTATCAAGATCCTTAAGCCGTACCGGTCCGGAAAAATCGTTGGTTGGTAGTCGATTCTACAAAGAAGTTGTGCGAGAAAGAAAACTTCTTGTAAATTGTAAAGTAGTAAACCGCCAATCATCCAGGCGGTGAGGATGGTATCTCGAGTTTTGTCGCGATGTACGATGGTGAAATTGAGCGCTGGAATTAACCCGAACAATTTCTCAGAGCATCCCCCATCCCCGACGGAAACCGTACTGGCAGTCACTAATCAGCTGGTGCTCCTCAAGGTACCGTATGCACCTACTTTTGAGCAGAGACTACCTTTAGTTACTGAACGGTGTTAAGGGCAATAGAAGGCTACAATAGAGTGGACGATGACAAGCTCGTGAAAACTTGGAGTCGGAGCGGACAGAGCTAAGTCCTGCAAGACCCGTCGCCACAGAAATCAATCACACTTTTAATGTCATGGCTGTTAGACCGGAAAAGAAGCTGAATTCTTCTGCATACACTCGTATGAAAACATGCAGGCAACTGAACAGACAAATCTCTAAAGGCATACAGCAAGACTTACGTTAGTTCTACGGGTCTTATCTGACATTATTTCAATGTTATTATTTCTCAGTCAGTTTAAGCGAGATTAAAATGGCTCTTCAACACCTTAAAAAGGGCAAAACCTCGGGCGAAGTCCAGAATCTCTTCAATTACGTCTACCGTGGTTACTCTATTCCAGACGCCTGGAGCAGAGATGCGGTGGTCTTGTTTTTCAAGAAAGGCGATAATACTCTATAGAGGATCTGTAAACCGATTTCACTTCTGAGCCGCGTCTGCAAACTGTTATCGAGAGTCATTACGAATCGTCTCGCACGCAGATTCGACGACCTCCACCCTTCAGAATTAGCCGTTTTTCGCAAAGAATTTAGTACTACAGACCACATACATACCCTTAGGCCAATTGTACAGAAAATTGAAGCCTTTGATTCCGTCAAAATTTGGGCGGTGCCAAGTTTCTTTAGAAACCGAATTAAAAATAAGCTAATAACTAGTTTAATAGTGTCATAAGTATTATTTAAACATTTTATACGTGCATATGTGTGTAAATATCTAGATCATCTACCTAGTTTTTTATTCAAATATTGAGAACCTGTTATTAGCATAGCTTACTGATAAGACGAGATGTAAGAAATGTTTAACAAACAGTTTTAATACCTATCTACATACATATAAATAAATTTGAAGTTTCTGTCTGTATTATTGAAATAACTGTCTCTTATTGAGTTTATGGGGTTATTTGTATGCTGTTAAGACGTAAATAGCCATTTGTAAAAATTTTGCCTGTTTGGTTGTCTGTTCGGGTTAATCTTCAGAACGGCTGAACCGTTTGTGATGAAACTTCACGAAGAGATGGAGAGCAATGCCAGGAGTGGTCTAGGCTATGTTTTAGGAAATTAAAATTTTGCTAAAATGAATGACACTTGACAATTATTTAAAAATCCAAATGACGCCACATTAATAGATCCTACCCAGGCAAAGCCGGAGTGGGTTTCCGGTTGCAAATAAAATAAAAGCGGTCTAGGTGCGACCCGAAAGGTCCACACGACTGACTTCCCAATGGAAAGAATAAAAAAATATCATATCTTTTAATATTTTATAGAATTTTTCATTCGTTTCATTTTGCTCAAAGTTTAATAAGATCTAAATTACATAATTATGCGTTAAATGAAACTGGTCCCATGTCAATATCACTCTTTGTTCTCGAGATACACGAGGCGAAAATTGAATCCGAACATACATACATACGTACATGTGCACACACGGACATCCTCTTAAAAACATACTATTCGATTCTAAAGACCTTGAAACGTGGAGATATGTTAAAATTTCCAATTCGCAAAATCGGACCCATTACAATAACTTCCCACTGTGAAGTTAATAAGTTAATGAAACGAGTTAAAATTCATGAAGCGATAAAGGTGTGTTATCGTATATAGGTAATCTTACCTTAGGTAACGCACCTTTGTCGCCTCTTCCGTTACGCCGTACGCCGTACGCGACGATCGTCAATACGACTACTCGTTGTGATGATTATGACAAATTCGGGGAGTAGGACACTGGGTGAGGTGGGTGAGGCTCATGCCATCAATGAATTTCGACGGGCTGATGATGAAGAAGAAAATACTTTTCATAAAACGATTTTTATATTCAATGCGCAGTGTTCGGATTGATAGTACTGAGTCATTATTTTTAAGCAATTTTTATAGTTCTGTACATAGTACAGGATAATTTTATTCCGTGGATATTCGCATGACATGTTTAGAATGGTGAGAACTATAGATTACTATAATACATAGTTATAGAACGGGGAAGTGGGCGGAGCCCGTGGACCCACTAAAATGTCACTAACATATCAATTCACATGTATAAATGTCAACACGAGATGTGTTTTGAATCGTTTCCAAATTTCGCAAGAAAATTATTTAGAAAATGACGAATTGCACACCATTTGCAAATAAATATGTATTAAAATTTAAACGATTTTTTAATGATGATGTTGATCATTAATCAAACGTCCAAAATGTGTAAATTTACTCAGTCTGTCAACACAACAAATCAGATTTGTAGTAATAATAATACGACGTAATTGCCTGTATGTGTGTTCCGGGCGACGCCGATCCCCGTTTTAAATAAGCTTGACAGCCGTTCTATTGTGTATTATAGTATTCTATGATAAGAACTATATAAACAAATAACAAAACAAAACCTGAGTGCGTCCCCATCCGCTCACGGTAATAACTGTTCCAGACTTCGCAGTCAGTCCTTTAGGTGGTAACTTTCTAGGATGTGTGCAGGAATTAAACTTGATTGACTTAGCTGTCTTCATGACAGCCACGTCTTTATCAAATGTTGGTTTGTTGTAGTCGGGATGAATAGTTATTTCCATTAATGGCAGAATTGTACCATTTGTATGGAAAGTACTGCCTGACCTAATCACTACGTTATACGGGTCGGTGCTGAAACAGTAAATAAGTTTCGTAGTCATTTATAGTCTATAAATAAAGAAAAATTAAAAATGAATATTTTTCTAGTTTATTGTATATAAAAAGTAGTATTTGTAGATAATCTTTAGAATTTAATATTCTGAACAGGTTGAGAGTATATCATTTCATAACAAGCGGGAAGGAACGTGCTTGGTAGGCCAGGACAACCGGGAAAAGACCACCTTCACACAGAATACCAGCGCAAAATTTTCATAGAAGTTTGAGTGACAAAGTTCACATTCCACCTGTCCAGTCACCTGACGCTAAGCGAAAAGGCCTTTAGGCACTTTTCTCAATTGAGAATCCAACAAGTGGTAGAATTGAAAAGTCGTACAACCGACTTCACTATAAATAAAATGTGATCATCGTCAATGTAGTCTAAGTCAATTAAATAGGCATTATTAAGAATAACTCAAAAACTACTTGTCAGATCTTGATGAAATTTGTATAGGACCACATGAGAAGCATCAGATTACAAATAAAAGAATCATCAAAATAGGTTCACCTAGAAAAAATTCTGAGGCAACACACATAAAAATAGAATCAAATTGAATACCACCTAATTTATTTGAAGTTAGTTAAAAAGAGATACAATTTCACCCCTGAAAATGAAGATGGAATGCCTCGTCAACGCTGAATATGGTCTCCAATACGTAGTTGTAATATTACATGTATTATTATTTATCCCGGAAATACAATTTTTATTCAATATAGATTATGAGTGATGTTATAAAGAAAGGAATGACAATGAAAAAGGAATAATAAATATAATATCCACAAATACATAGTTAAAAAATGATATGTATATTTAAAATTTTCAATATTTAATATATGAGAGCAATTATTTTACAACTTGTCCAGAAGCAGTTCTCCGAAACTTTACGAAGGAATAAAGGAAATTGTTGTACCTATTGTACGAACACTTTCTTTATTCCTTCCTTTTTTTCTTAAATACACAATAGAATGAAATTGAGCGATTAGAGAGTTTTTTTTATAGGGTAAGGGTGACAAACGAGCACACAATCCACCTGATGGATACATCTATTCTAGATTACAAATCAAAATGCAGATGCGTTATCAGCCGTGAGGACTAAGATGGAATGCCTCGTTTCCAGTAAAAAGGGTTTCCGGTTCTCTACACTCACCATACGAAACGTAGCAGTATTAATCTACTATTTTACGCTGGTTTTCTGTGAGAGTGTGTTCCTTCCCCGGTCGAGTCGACCCATTCGTGCTACAACTATACTACTAAAATAGCTGCCTCGTTGGTCTAG